AAAACGTTGCTACGCACAGGAACAAGCAATAATCATCAAGGGAGGAACAGATGGAGGAACGCTATATTACGAGTATTATGTCTCGGAGATTCGCTTGATCGAATCCCAGAATTGCTATTTCACTGAATTGATCCATGCTATTGCTCATTCACTTGAGGTGAATTACATCAGGTAACCTACGATCACCTTGTACATATTTCTTGTTCGGCGTTCGTAATATTTTGTTACAATAAAAATGCTTTTCTTCATTTGTCTAGAGGAAAGTAACGCGAAAAAAAGATGAAAATATTATTAAATAGAACGTCAAAAGAAGGGAAAGAAAAGGAATGGATTAAGACCAGGGACGGCGTATATCACTTTTAATCATATTTATTTCCGAAGTACGTCCTTTGTGATCTTCTGTGAATCCTTTTTATGTTCATGTGTTACGGACAAGTCTAGTGCCCCAAAGCGAGTCGCCTTCACCGACAAATTTTACCATATCTTGAACTCACAGCAGGCAAATCTCGTATTTTTTTTATTGCTAGTGCGGTGGGACTAAGTCCCTTGTACTGCAGCCACTTCTGGCCTATTGTACCAGCCTCAGATGATAGGTGAGGGTGATTGTGGAGCAATTGGTGGAATGAAGATTGACAGGGGAAACCGAAATACTAGGAGAAAACCTGCCCCAGTGTCACTTTGTCCACCACAAATCCCACTTGACCCGGGATCGAACCCGGGCCGCCGCAGTGGGAAGCCAGCGACTAACCGCTTGAGCTATGGCGCGGCCCCAGGCAAATCTCGTAACTATAAGCATATCTGGTGATGCCTGATTTGAAATTCTCACTGCTATGGCCACAAAGAATACAGTCACTTTTAGGGTATGACGCCTTATAGTCTGGTAGAAGTGTGCTGACGTGTCAGAGGAATATACAGCTTCAGTCTGAAGGAAGGAACAGCAAGTCGTGCAAGAAAGCTCCTCCGAAACATCTACAGACTTCTACTAGAATACAAGGCATCGCAACTCAGAACTTAATACGCTTCAAACTGGTTGATGACAGCTTACGTCTGATTTACATACGGGGGACTGACCTTCATAATGAAGCTTTCTGTTTTTCTTAAATATTGTAAGAATCTTTCATTTCTCTAGAGCTGCTATAAAATCTCTTCGTTCTAACTTCAAATTATTTCTTTTCTTTCACGCGTTTGCCACGAAAAATAGCAAAAATGAGGCTGTTAGTTTTGTCATTCTTGTCTGTTTGCTCGCCGGTCTTACCGTTGGTTTGTGAACGTGTAACATGTCTCATCTTCAGATTTCTTGTGGGACTCTGAAGATGGAGACATGTTACATGCCGGTAACCAAGAAAGACTGTACTAATGGACCTACATATATTGAAATTGGCTCATATAAATTTGAGGTTGTGTTAGGTTTCACTTACCTTGGATCAGAAGTTAACTGTAAAAATGATATCAGTGATGAAACAAAAAAGCGTGTACTTTCAGCAAATAAACGTCTCCATGGCCTTAGGAAACACCTGAAACCCCAACTAATACCCAGGAAAACCAAAACTATGATGTATAAAATACTTATAAGATCAGTGCTATCTTATGCCTCTGAGACCTGGCCGCTGTCAAGATCGGATGGAAGACTGTTAAGTATATTTGAAAGGAGGATCTTGAGATATTATATCTTTGGACCAGTGGAAGAAAATGGAATATGGAGGAAGAGGTATAACCATGAGCTATACAAACTATTTAATGAACCAGACATTATTGGATTTATAAAGGTGAAAAGGCTTGAACGGGCTGGACACGTAACACGTGCCAGCGAGAATAGAACCATCAAGAAAATGCTTAATACTAAACCAGAAGGAAATAGAAGAGTGGGAAGACCAAGGTTAAGATGGGAAGAATGTGTGTGGCAGGACATAAGAATTTTGGGTGTAAAGAACTGGAGGAATGTAGCATCGAATGGAGAAGAATGGCGAGCAATCCTGAGGAAGGCCAGGGCTCACAAAAGGCTGTCATGCCAGTGATGATGATGATGATGATGATGATGATACTATTTTATGTTTAGCGATTCTTCGTTTCGGAGGTAATGAATTAAATTAGATTTGAGATTTATGTGAGGTTAAGTTTTGTATTTCACTAATACTAACCGAAACAAAATTTGCTGAAGAATATTTCGCGTGAAATCCTGTTACAGAATCGAAATTTTTAAAGTGATTATGATGATGAAGCATGCCGAAAAAACGTGGCCTCTCTTTGTGTGTCCGTTTTGTACATACTTTCTGCAAAGAACTAATAATAACCTAACACGCCCGGTTGTGGCTTCAGGTTTTGAAAGGGATAATGTGATAATCAGTATAAATCAGAGACACGCAGCCTTTTCTATGTTGGCGGGAAACGTAACGAAGAGAATCGGCAGTAATTACTGCAGTTTATAATTTGGGACCGTATTGTAGAAATCAGACCTTTTCACACAGTCGTCCTTTTTTATTTATGAATTAGTATTTATTAATATGAACTGCATTGGATCAGATTTTAATTTCAATTTTATCTCATGCTTTCCTATGTATTCTGAGAACTTTACACGTGCTTTTATTATGTATAGACCTAGGAATGTATAAAAATGCGATGTGATTCTAAATTATTCTCAGGGTTTCCGTGGCCTGTAATTTTCAGACCGGAAAAAGTTGTATCTCTTACCCCAGTTGGAGGAGGATCAGCCAAATGTGGTGTTCCAGCAAAATGTTGCCCCCCCCACACACAGACACATTGGTCTCATATTTTTCGAGAATTTCTTGACATGCATTTTCCTGGGCGCTGGGTTGGGCGTGATGGGCCAATTCCGTGGCCTCGGCACTCACCCATCTATCATCGAGTTTAAGAATGCACGGAGCTTTACCCCCACGCTTCCCCATGCCTTCATACACGTACTGCCCAAGGTGCTGAAGACTTAGACAACTCTTAACCTTTTTACTGTAACAGCTTACGTCGACTCGTGTCTCGGATGCAGTCTAGGAAGCCGTTCACTCAGATATTAAAATCTATCCATCTATCTATGTATCTATCTATCTACTTATCTATCTATCTATCTATCTATCTATCTATCTAGCTAGCTAGCTAGCTACCTAAGGTTCTACAGCCCTTATGGTTCTTGGCCGCTTTTTCCAGTTTCTTGATCTGTATATGGTCGGTAGGACTCCTTGCACGGGGGATCAGCCCGTCGCAGGTCCGCTACCTACACACAGAATAAACGCACACACAAACATCCATGCCTTGAGTGGGATTCGAAACCATGATTCCAGTGTTCGAGCGAGCGAAGATATTTCATGCCTTAATTTTTAATTTAAAAACTATAGCCAATAAATTAAAATACGACTACAGCCTCTACAAACTACGAGTAAATATACGGATCCTCACGCGTTGAAGCCTGGCGAGCAACTGAAGTAGTGTGGACGAAGATTTACGAGCACAAGTAAAAGCCAGACGAGTCTCCCGACGAGCACAAGCCTGGCGAGCACGAGCACGAGCGCGAGTAATGTGGACGCGCCTTTACATACATATGTGATATAAGTAAAACTTTTGCTAGCTCTGTGTAGGTAACAATTTCCGTACAATTAATGTGTTTCTGGACATTATCCATCGTCTTGTTTTTATTTAAAACACACAGCGTTTCGAAGACTGGATTTTATCTCCATCTTCAGGTGGAACCTACTCAGTTGGGCCCAATCGATAGAGCTAGTCCCTATCTCCGGACACCAGCACCGACACACGACAGGATATATAAACCAAGTACCGCATAACCATCTGCGAGAGTTAAGACAGACATTAAAAACAATAAAAGAGATACATAAATGAGGCGTAATACATGTCCTTGCACTATTTCACGGCTATTGTTAAAATCAATGTAAAGTAAAGTAAAGCTATTCCTGTAACAGGCCGTGAAGGCCCATAGGGTTGTGAGACGTTGAGGGTCCCACATTGTCTAGACAATCGGCTCGAAGATGGCGGTAAGGTTGTATTATCAGAATAGAAATTATTACTAAAGAGACAAATTCTCTGTATGGTACCAACATAAAGACGTAGTCTTCACACATAATTTACGCTAGAAATGAGTTACAGTTTTCTAACATATACTGCGGTAACGGGAGTCCAGAAGGGAGAGACGTCCAAGCTGGGTTGACTGATCGGATGGTCTATCAGAGACCTGTGGGCGGATTCCTTGTATTTCCTGTACGTGGTGTTGGGTTCAATCTGCAAGCCCTTCGCTTCATTCCAACTTATTTTGTGGCTTTCTTCGTATGCATGTTGGGCTAGTTTTGATTTTTTCAGTTTTTTAATTTTCATACTAATTTGGATTTTCAGCCTTCTACGCAATATCTGATGCACTTTCCAATAACTTTTGCACCCGATGTCCTTCTTAAAGGTTAACCTGGTTTAACAGCAATTAGATATGTAGACACAAGCTGTGCATGGAGGAAAAAACACAAAATTCCTGCCCTTTCTGTAAATATAATGTATTTTATAACTTAGATATCGGACAGTTTGAGGTCTGATACATTGCTTTTTACATAAAGGATTTTCGGGCTGTATTCCTAAACGCGTACTGCTACATTCAGAACATGAATGAAAACCGACTCCTGTGGCTGATATAGCAGTATCATTATGCTTTGGGCTGGAAGAAAAGTTAAGCGTTCTGCTGCATGCCACTCTCAGGGATTTTTCCTGAAATGAACAGAACGGAATTTCGTATAAGGTTGAAAATAGAACCGGAAATGACATAAATATTGAACACGAGCTCGAGAAACATTAGAAAACATTTAAAATTTTTTCTTTCGTCCGTTCTTTCATGAACGTGGCCACGTTTGAACGATCGGTGTAAGAAATACATCCCTAGATATACGCGTTACTACGACAACACAAGGAAGCACGCACAATGATGTTTTAATTAGTGATATTAATATAAGGAGGAGTTCCCGGCCAGCACCGCCGCTATAAGGTCATTTGTTGTGCAGGCTTCCAGCAGCACCCAACCTGTAAACAATGACGGCCTAACGAAACAGCAGCTGCACATCATCCACCAGATCATGCAACAGTCCCAACAGCAAGCAGCCGCGCACCAGAAACAACAGCAAAACAGCAACAGCCCCACGAAAAACAGCGTCGCCTCCAACAACACAACAAGCAGCGTCAAGACGGTGACGTCGAATAATAAGTCCAGGACGTGGACTGTGCAGGTAGGGCGTCCACATGGATGCTGTATGTGTGAAAAAGAGAATTTCCCCCGAAAACTAACAAGAGAAATTAATGTTAACTAACATTTTAAATTTAAAATATAAGGCTAATCTTTAGAACTGGGTCCATTGAATTCAGCGTTTCCAACTTTGGCATTAGTTTAGTTTTCAGGACTGGATTCCTGTTTCTGGCTGACGAGGATAGGATTGTCGTCTCAGAAGGATTGTTTGGTCCTAAAATGTTGAGCGCGTTCGTCCACTTCACCATACTCTGTCACTAAGCTCATTGTAATAAAATGAAATAATTATAATTTACCAAATTTACGGATGCATTCACGAAGATCTTTATTAAAATAAAACAGAATATTATTAAAATAAAGAGATATATAATTATTAAAAAATTAAAAAAATGATTATGAATTAAAATGGGATAAATAGAATATTACGAAATAAAAGCGGTAAATTATTACGAGTAACATTAAAAATAATTAAATTTATGCCTTGTAAGTTTCTTATAAGTACTTTTTGTTGCTCATTTGCAGGCTTCACAAGCGAGTCGATGGCTGTTTGACAGAAATTTAAAACCGAATCGTTGCGATGCTTCTCATTATGATCAGCAACTTTTTTATCACAATTTCAGATACGATTAGAATTTTAACTTTCGTTAACAGATCAGTGTTGGTTTATGATGAACACCATTTCGCACGTAAAAGCGACAAAATTGTTTTCAATTAAAGGCAATTAGGATATGAATACAGGGTTCTCTGCAATATAAATATGTAAAATCTATTTTTTTAAGTCAACGAAATCCAAGAGGAAATAAAATCCGCTTATAACCCGGTTTTAAGAGCCAGGATAATGCAGTCGGTATAGCGACTGGTGACGAGCTGGACGATCAAGGGGTCGGAGTTCGAGTCCCGTTGAGGACAAGCATTTTCACTTCTCCATGTCGTCCAAATCTGCTCTGGGTGTCACCCAGCTTCCTAGCCAATGGGTACCGAGGGCTCTTTCCCATGTGTAAAACGGCAGGGGCGTGAAGCTGACCACTTACCTTCAACTGATGCCGAGGTCAAGAAAATGTGGATCTATACATCCACTCCCCCATATGTCTTTATGACGTATTGCTTAATTAGTTAAGCACAGGGACATTTTTACCGTTTACCTTAGTTCTAAATAATTCGTTCGCAGTTCAAGGGCACTTAGTTTCCGAAGGTTTCTTCGCGCAGTGGAAATGTTGGCAGTGCTGATCACTGACGTTATAATCAGATGACCACACGGGTCCGGAACTCCAGTCCGTAGAGGATACAAATTGGTGCCTAACAAGAACACAGTCATTATAACAGAAACTTTCAGCACATAGCGTGTTAGGTTATGTCTGTTAGCTTCATGTTTAGCTCTCTCATGTGAAACGTTGGCAAATCAGCTCACTTCTCTTGAAGCTTTCTGGAAAGCAAGTTCAGACACCAATCAGGCTTCGAAAAAGATGGAGTTCACCAGGAGGTATGGTTTACAAATGTATACATTTGATCTCAATTAGCCATCGAAAATGCTCTGAAACACAAAATAGCATCAATAATTTCACATTGGAATTACAAAAATACGTAGTTTGTACTGAAGTTATGCAGGGAAATATGAATACAAAAATAAATCTTGGGGTTGGGGATGCATAAGAGGCGGCAGATTATCGGTTCCTGAAGAAGGACTCCGCTCCATGAATTTATTTGTTCAGGTTATAATATTTTTTTATTGCTAGTGAGGTGGGACTAAGTCCCTTGTACTGCGGCCACTTCTGGCCTATTGTACCAGCACCAGATGATAGGTGAGGGTGATTGTGGAGCAACTGGTGGAATTAAGATTGGCAGGGGAAACCGAAGTACTCGGAGAAAACCTGCCCCAACGCCACTTTGTCCATCACAAATCCCACTTGTCCAGACCCGGGATCGAAACCGGGCCGCCGCGATGGGAAGCCAGCGACTAGATTCGGTGAGATAAATTTTTCGTTTCGTAAGACCGTTAGAAAATGTTGCTAAGTTGGCCATAATTGGATGTCTTGTTGATCCCTTTTCTAAAGATTATGCCACTTAAAAATTATACTCTAAATATCTTATTTTAGCCAGTAATTAAACTTAATACAATAACACTTCTGTTGATAATTGTAAATATTTAATTTGCAAGACTGATGATAGCTCACTGAGAACCCATGAAGATTCTAATATATCCTACTGTGGCCTGGAAGATCTGCAGCGGTTTTTTATGCCCCTATAAGCAGTTCTTAGAACGGTACATAGGAATGGGGCCCCGAATTTTCGCTCCCTTTTTCGGCTTCTGATGTAAGATTTGTGACTATAGACAGTCTGAAAATACGAAATTTTGGACTCCTTGCCAGAATATTATCTATGTTACCAGAATTCTATATATGATTTACTTTCCTTTGCGTTGGTGAAACTCAGCCATTATTATTCTCAGCTAATATACTGAGGTGCGTTAAAGGGCAGCATAAAGATTCTTTACAAATGGACTTTGTGAGAAGTATTTTTGAAATAGTTGCCCTTACGACATGACTACATAAAAGTTACCGATCTCCCTCATGAAACACTCTTAAATCTGTCCCTTGCCAGTCTTACTTTACGACACCAATAAACTCCGTGTCGAATTTAGTTAAATTCGGTGTTTTAAAGGCTCTGCAACTTTCATGGCTGAGTGGCAGCACCACAGTGCCAGCGTGTGGCCTATCCAGGAATTTAGGAATACTGAAGTGGGGAACTGCGACAGATCGTGAAGGTTATGAATGTTGGGTACCTCTGCTAGGGTCAAATTTAAGGAAATATCTTTCCCATCAAACACAAAATGGAAACTCAACATAGTACAATTGAGAGGCGTCAGAAAGGGGTTTGGAAGACCTGAGAATCAGGGTTAAATTCCCGTTCAGGACAGATCTTTTCTGTTTTCACTGTACCCAGCCCGACCTTGAGAATAGGACTCTTTCTCCTCAGCTTGACCGGTGAGTGGAACCGACCATTCACCTCCTTCCAGCTATGAGTTAAGAATGTGTGGATCTATACCTCCACTCCTCCTCATGTTTTCACTGCTTGTGCTGGGCTAAGACCAGGAAACATTAATGTGTTGAAGTTAGGATATGATCTTTGATTTATCCTCCAGGATGAATTCATAAACAGTGTGTTTGAATGTGCCTCTATTTCTCAGTTTTGTTTATGATCTGTAACAGGAATCTTGTTTTCAAAAATAGCGGTTGAGAGACAACATATTAAAATTAGTTCTAATACCTGTAACAATATAATTCGTTATAGTCACCGCCGTGAAAACATAAAATCTTACAGAATTTAATTCTAAGTTTATTAGTAAGCAAAACTTGATTGAACGACAAGACAGTCAAACTAGCGCCTCACAGATCACCTCTAATTGTTTTCCTAATCAGGTGCATAGTCTTGTATAAACTTAGTTAAACCTCTCGATGCAATTGGCTGCAAAGCAGAAGACAAATATCGCATGTAATCATATGGGGACTTGCAGGTTGGGTTCAACGTATTTTCATCCGAGGTTCTATATAGACGTTAACGGTGAGATTCACGCTACCACTGTCTTCACTCTCTAAGCTTAATATATATTAGATTATATAACGATTGATATCAACTCTGTGGGTTATACAGCGACTAATAGAAAGTGTCACAAGACACGGTTTACACAGAATATAAGAAAAACAATCCCCATAGTGGAAGAACCACACGCAAGTTTTAATTATGACACATAAGATGAATAATCTTAACAAGTTTTATTTAGTGTGAATTTATTATAGTTGACAAATACGCACTTTTTAAATACTTTTATAAAGACATATAAAGGCAAGCAATGAAATAGATTAACGTAATTAGGGCACCTGATGATGGCACTATGTTGCCGAAACATGTCGTGAAGTAACAGGTGAAATTGAGTGCACTACAAGACGGCCACTGTATACATATCATGGATAATGGGAAGATGATTATGAATATTGAAAAGGATATGGAAAGAAGCCATCGTAAACAGTTTTAAGGTGGAAAAGAAGTTACGCCTGTGCTCAATTAATTAAACACTACGACCTGAAGGCGTATGAGGGGAGTATGTACGAATATAGAACATGACTTCGGCACTTGTTGGGGGTGAGTGGTCATCTTCACTCCCCGGCCCCTTTACTCCCTAAGAAAGAGCAACCGGTACGCATTAGATAGGAGTGTTTGAGCCCCAGAACTAGCCTGGACGACGTAGAGAAGAGAAAAATCTTGTCCCTACCTGGATTCGAACTCCGACGCCTCGGCTTTCCAGCCCGTAGCCAATTGCGACTGAGTCATCCCAACTGTTACTCCACAATTTTCCTACACAGACTGAATAAAAGCATAAAGAATTTCGGGATTGTTTGCCCCGGGTGGATGACCAAACACAGAAGCGGAAAGCAATATTTGTAACGACAGATCCTTCCATAAGAAGTAATTTATGAACCCTGCTACGGTTGGCTTCATCGGAAAGTAGGGACATCGTTTTTAATTGAAATCGGAGTGAAAGTCTTACTTTCTTTCTTTTCGATGTTTGTCGTGTCGTACTGATGCTGAATTCATAGACCTGACCCAACGTTTCTTGTAGAATCCTTCTGTAGCATATGTGTAGTGTGCACATGATAGTAGCACACAGTTCAGTAATCGTCTTGCACTTTCAGTAACCTTGCATGAAACCTTCTTCACATGCTTCATTGGCTACAGAGCGTGAAGCTGGCTTTACTGCAGCCAATGAAGTAAGATACACGAATTAAAACTCGGTTCACAATTCATGCTTTTATTTTGCTTGTGTTCGTTAAAATTAACGTAAACTGCAATACAAATTCCACGTAAATGAAGAATATGTTTGAGATTATTTGAGAACACAGCACTGAAGAGAATATTGAGAACTGAGACAAAGATATGTATATAGCAAGCAACAGGAGACGAGAGAAAATAACATAATGAGGAGCTTCC